ACTCCTAAAAGTCGTGGCGTCTCTCGTCAGCGGACTTTTCGGCAGAAGAAACTTGAAGAATTTCTGAGACTACCTCCTGATATGTTCAGTGACTGTCTCCACTTCAGCCAGATCCAACTGATTGATCAATGAAATGTAAGTAGGTATCTGTAACTATTCGTGCAAATACGGAGCACTTTATTCTGCATCCTTTCGAGTCTCTGCAAGGAAGATCCACCGACATAGTTTTGTCGATGGGGAGATCTCTTGACTCTTGAGGCTGCAAAATACAGGACAGGCGTACAACGTAGCTGGTCTTATTACCTGTTTGTAAATAAGCAACTTGTTGTTCCGTGCAATGAGCGGATACGTGTGTGTTTTATCACCGCAGACGCTCGTTGGATCGCAAGACTCAAGTGTTCCCTGAAAGTTCAGGCGCCAATCCAGGATAACTCCCAGATACCGCGTGCTTTTCTGCTCATCAACGCTCACGCCTTTCATTCTCAACTTCCATAAGATCTTTACATTAGTTAATTTCTTCGAAAAGTTGACAAGCTCAGTTCTCGATGTATTCATCTCAATTTTGTTCCTGTCAAAGTACGGCATGATCATCCTGTCGAGATAGATATGCAGTTGCTTATCCACCTCGCTCGAGAACGAATGCGCGTAAATTGCGGTATCGTCCGCATAGATACTTACACTCGTTTTCGAGAACATGGAAAAATTGTTTAAAAAATCTGTTTAAAATCTGTTTTTCCGTTAACCAGCTGTCGCACCCCTACGAACGACAACCCTCAGAAGTCGAAACTTGTGCGAGCTAAGGATTAACGAGGTCTTACCTTTTAACGTGTGATTCCTAACACGTACACAATGAATACAGCTGCGGTGATAGGCAAGACCTCTGCGTGACATCTGCTTTAACTAGATAATTTGCAGATGTGGTTTGGTACACTCTCACACGAAAAGTTCCGTGGATCAGGTAGGATTCAAGAATCCTATTCACAAATAGAAGCATGCCTGCCGATCACATTTTGGCGACAAACTCTTCTGTCCACACCTTGTCGAAGGCTTTTTGAATATCCAACAGGACTATGACTATGTTCTTCCCCTGATGGAAGGATTCTTTTATCCCGTGAACAACTCGGATCAGTTGAGACGAGGTTGAGAGATATATTCTGACCTCGTCGGAACCCAAATTGCTCCTCCGGAAGAAGGAGCGAAGACGTCTACTCAGCAATACTTTATCGACGCGACGACCTTGGCGAGCGCACTGGAGAGCGAGATCGGGCGATAACTATCAGGTTTCTAGCTTTACCGGCTACAAGGCCGGTAAAGCTAGACAACTTGGATAGTGTTGGTGTTTAATGATTGCGTTGACAATATGTACCAATTGTACAAGATCCTTTCGAGGAAGATTGCGGAGTAAAACTGCTTTGATTCCATCAAGCCCTGGGGCTTTGTTTTTCCCCAGATGCGTGATGGTCTCTTCTATCTCATCGAAGCTAATAAACCACTCTAGTAGGGTATGTTCCGTCATGGCCGGAACATTTCTGTTCTCGACCATGCCGGCGACCTTGATGGTATTCTCTTGCTCGATACAATCATCAGGTTCAACCCGGTGAACATTGGCAAAATACTCCACGAACAACCGAGCCTTTTGGAGATCCGACACCGCATATACTTGATCTCTCTGTATGGTAGGTATGACCTCGAAGCGGTTCTCCAACTCTCGAGCTTGTCCTGCCACCTTTTATTGGTGAACTCAGATATGCGTTCATTGACCTCTGCTGCAAGTCTCAACAGGTGATCCTTGTAGCGGGGATCACGAGTTCGCTGCTATATTTTTCTTTGGATGGTCTTTTCTCTTATAATTTCAACAATATATAGTTGGGAGGATATCTCGGTGTCCTTTCACCACTACCTTCTTTGTCGAACCTATTTCTGGAGCATTGGATGTTTTCGACGAACTGCTCACCGATCATATTGAGGTCACCTCACGATATGTTGCTTTTTATCTCAGTCAAACCGTTCACAGCCGATCTGAGCTTCCCCCCAATTGGCGCTCCTGTAGTTATACGTTGCTTTCCTCTTAATGAGGTTAGCTTGAGTAAGACCAAAGAGCACCGGACAACGATCGGAGCTCAGCTCGTCTACCGTGACCAGTTCGCACAGGTCTCTTACGTTCTTATTTAGGACAAATTCGATAGTGGTGGGTGAAGAACCGTTCCATGGATAATGGGTTGGCTCATCCGGGTATTCGATGTTAATGTTGTTGTTCAGGGAGTACTCCCACAGCGTCCTCCCGTTGACGTTTGATCGATTCTGCCAGTTCCACTCACGCCTCCTGGCGTCAAAGTCTCCCACAATCAGCACTTTATTGCCAACGCTCAACAAGTTATCCAAGTTTTGCGGAAAGAAGTGTCCATCCCGCCAATTATACACTACAAATACTAAGGTATTATCAGCAAATTTCATACCTACGTGTTCTATGCTACTACTCTGCGGATGTATCTGCGTATGTGCGATACATTTTTCAATGATAATTGCTACCCTACCTCTTCTCACCGCCCAAGGGAAATATACCCGGATGTTTGTAAAGCCGCGTACCTTTAGTATATGCTCCTGCCGAAGTCTCGTTTCAAACAGAAACATTATATCAACCTTGTATGCAAGAATGGAATTGACAACACTTGGATATTTGTTGCAAATCCCATTCACGTTCAGCATACATGTGTTTATAGGCATTTCGAAGTTACATTCATGGATACCGCCCGCGAACGTCGTGAACGCATTCCATTTTTCCAAGGGGGTACGAGTTCCCGCCATCAACTTACACAGGTCATTTGTCGCCCTAATTATTTCCGCCAGGTTAACCATTTCGTTGAGCTTCCGGAAGCAATTAGTTGCTTCCAAGAGGCTATGTTGGGCTCCAACACTGGGCCTTATGCTCTTTGTTGCTCGCTCTCCCTCCACAAGTGGGGGAGTGGCGAGTGGTGAAGAACTAACACCAGGTTGGTGTGATTGCCTACCAGCAGCCCTTCTTTCCCAGGTGTTCTCCTTTGATGGAGGTGCCAGTATCAGCCTTAGAGGTAGTTGACCTGTCCCCGGCTGTCGTGGTACAACTCTGGTACCGGTGGCACTGCACCAGGGCTCTAGTGTTATTTCTCAATTCCCACGGGACTTGGTGTAGAGCACATGTTTTACATTCCACTTGAGGAAGCTTGATCATCATGTACAAGGGACATCTATCCGTCCTCAGCCTGTACACGACAACCACGCCCAACCTGTGCTTCTCCCAGGGTTCTTCCTCGATTTCTTCCACTTTGGGAGCAGAGTCCAGACCCTGGAGGACAAACGCATGTGTTTTGTCCCCCGGAAGTTATATGTATGGAATTTCATGTTTTCCTCTTTGATTGTATTCACTATAGAGAAGTGGTCCCGTCTGGACTTAGTGTTTATGAGAGATGACCTCCCAGTGTATTCCACTTTTAAGCTCCGCCGTAAGCTCTTTGTTCATGGGAATGATGCCTTTTATGGTTACGGATTTCCGTGCTCTTAGGACTCCCGCTTCCACTTTCCGTCCTCTTCTCCGGGTGAGGAGTAAGAGAGTTGGACGTCTTCCTGACCCTCCTTCCTTTGCGCTTTCGTGGAGTTTGCCCATCCTCCTCGTTAGAGGATAACTCCTTGCTGATGGTGGGACAATTTCCTCTCTAAGTCAGGAGTTTGGACTTCGCCTTTATCAGAATTTTGGCTTTAGAGTCTCGTTGGGCTTTCTCAAATTCACAGTTCTTGTCAGGATGCTCAGGCGGGTGCCTTTACCCTCTCCTGGCCTGGGTTTTTCGATATTTTTAATTTCTTCAATGGTTTCGGCCTCTTTGATTATATGTATTGCATCTGGGTCATCCTGATGCGTTTTGTTCATGTTCGGAATATTGTTTCCTAATGTAATTTCACATTCCATTCGGTCCACGACTCTAACGTTGTTTCGAAGTGGTTCATTAAAATCCCCCTCTACCGGTGGATCGTGGATTTGAACAACTACTTCTTCCAAAACAGGGGTAGATTCAGTTAGTGGCGAGTGAAGGCAGAAATCTGTGGGTGCGCCACACCCCCCGCCCCTGGCTGCACTCAGTCACCGCTATGCGGCTTCTCCGTGCCCTCGGTACGTTGGGTGTTCCTCTTCTTCAGGTCTCTGTTCTGCTCCTCGTTGGTTGGTGTTTTTATAGTTTCTTCCTCTGTATTTGTTTCTATTTCGTATTTAGACTTGTAATCTTCGAATTGTTTTTCATTTGTTTTGATGTTGATAGCATATCCATGTGGACTATTCTGTTTTTCCTTATGAAGCCGGCCTTATTTTTGTAACTTAGTAAGGATCCACTCCTTTCTGAATCAGAGAATTTATCTCTTAACTTATAGGCCAATGCGTCTTAATATTCTTCGCTCCAAGATTTTAGGTAAAATTTTAGTGGCCGAGCAAACTTGAGTTTTTATCAAATCAATTGGTTATAATCGATTCGATATTTTCCTACTAATAACTGAAAAATCATCGATTATATCAAAAGCATTTTAAAAAATCAGATCGATTCGATATATCGCATTGTCAACATCGATATTTTCAATGCATCGATGTATATTGAATATCCCTATCATCTATACCCATTCTCCTTTCTCCCAGAAACAGTGATTTTAGTATCGTCAGCATACATAATTATGTATCTGATATGAATACAGACAATTCATTGATAAAAATCAAGAATAACAATGAAATCAAGAATAAAAATGGACTCAAAACAGATCCTTATGGAACGCGTATTTTCACATTATAAGGAACTGATGTAATTCCTGTATCATGGTTATTCACAGTCGTTGCATTGTTGACGTCGTTGCAGTGTTGACGTTGCAGTGTTGACACCAGTCATAAATATCTGAACTTCAATAGGAAAATAGAATGTAGAAAAGCAACCTTGGAGTTTCATATTTTCATTTTGACATCTACCTCACGGAATATCGGTACTAGTGTTCTGTGTCAAACATTGAAACTTGAAACGATAACACAAATCTAATTGCCAAAGCACAATAGCATGTCTTCAATTCTTTAGCTTTTTACTGTGGCCAAAGGATAAACCTAATTGAAATTAATTTAAAAAAATGGGTGATAACTTAGTCGAATGGTTAGGAAATTATATATAATATTCATTAAAACTTCTACATCGGTTTATATTTTAGGAAAACTCTCATATATGACTTGAAAAAGGCTCAACTACATAAAACTCAAGTTGTTGATCATCCTTTGAAAAATGTTGTTGTAAGTTGCTATGTATGGGTATAGTTCATACATTTTTAACTTGGTATATTTTCAAAGGTTACAGAAAGGATCCCTAGGAAAATTCTTGGTTCAACTTCAAGCACAGGTCGAACCACTCCAGTATCAACACCAGCATCTATATTGGAGCCCCTTACCCTAGCGTTAAGGCAACTTGATCCATTGTCTGAGTTTGCATTACAAGATATGGATCCTTTGTCTAAAATGGCCGCTGAAATGGTGAGAAACTATAAATAATATAATAATAATAGCGACTTTATTTTCCATTTTACATAATAAATAATTATTTCCATCTTGAAATGCTAATTGTTGGCATAATAGGCGGAGTTCAGCTTAAAAAAAATTATATGACAATATTATTTGACTATTCAATTGAGCTGCTCTTCCACTCAACCTCATAAAGCGCTATATAATGAAAAAATAAATAAATTAAAAAACATTCCTAACATTATTATCGAGGGGTGTTCTGTTTCTTCAATAACATTATTTTCAGATTCTCTTCAAACTTATCTAACTTCATCTATTTCAAACTGTTCGGAATTTCATTGTAAATTTTTGAGATCTGATAACTGTAGGATCTTACATATTGTTTTGTTTTGTGCAATGAGGGTGTTAAAAGCCCTTTAAACCTCAAGTTCAATGTATGTACGTCAGTTCGGAATTTGATTTTATTATATAGATATTCTGGTGTTTTAGTTTTAATTATACTATGATATAAGCTTGCAGAGTGGAGCAACATCCGATTATCCATATTCAACCAGTTTATATATTTTAAAGTATGGGTAATGCTTTCATATTTACGAATACCGAAAATCAATCTCATGCAAGAATTTTCTATTTTTTGTATTTTTTTTATAAAAAACTGAAATTTGGACCATACACACAATCTGCGAAATTAAAATTGGACAAAACCAAGCTCTCGTGAAGTATTGATTTGATTTTTCTTGATAAATATTGTCTACTACTGTATATCAATTTTAAATGTCCATATGCTCTGCGAATTAGTTCATTCACATGTTTTTCAAAACGAAGATATAATGACTCCTAGGTTTTTAGCACAAACAACCACTTAGAGTATATTTTATATTTTTTACAATATTTCTTTTTTTTTTGGCCAAAGACTAAAATATTTGACTTAGTAGCATTCATTTGTAGACCGTGGTTTGAAGATGAAGCTACAAATGCATTGATATCAATATCATTTGCTATGAAAAAAGTTTTTAGTTTAGCAATATGTTGAAACAATTTTCAATTGTTAGTGATAAAGTTTACATTCCTAGTTGGATTTATTTTTTATTACTATTACGGTAGAAGGCTGATTTATGGATTAAGTTACACAGCAATAATTGTATGATAACGTAATCATTAACTCTAAAGGACAACTGTTCATTTCACAGATAACATACAGTAAAGCTAACACAATTAAAATGTAGTTGTAGTATTTTTGATTTTACACATGTTAATAATTAATTGTTAAAATACTAAACTTACATTCAAAGAGCATTTACAAAAAAAGCTGAGTGAAGTAACCTTGAAGTCAAAAACTGGTACAAAATTTCTCACAGTCAATCATTGAAGATGTACATACAACAAGGATTCCATGCTTTGTTTGGTTGTCCTGAAGGAATAGCTCCTCAAGAAATGGAACAAACCCATTTTTTTACTTCACAGATAAAGTTGTTGCTTTAGCAGCGTGTCATTCATAAGTGAATTCCTGTTGATCTATTACTTTATGTTTTTGCTGAACTGTCCATGTTAGCATAATATTGACATTATGAATTTCATTAGTTCGGACTTCCATTGTCTGATATCATATAAAATGATTTGAAATCCCTGAAATAACTACTAAAAAAAGAAGAATTGAAAATGAATAGCTGAAAATAACAATTATTTCAAGCAAAAAAAACCTGAAATGAAATAATAGTGAAATAAAATACAATCGGGTGATAACACTCATCACCCCTGTTGGTAACTTCGTTCGTTTGTGCTGTTTTCTCGTTCTTGGCAACCAAGTGTCGCCCATCTTTGCACTTGGCTACACCACGCTGATGGGGCCAATAGCCAGAAACACGTGCCCGTGGTTTGCCAATAATTTTTCTTGATTGCTGTTCCGACTAATCCTTTCCTTTTTGAATTATACATATATATTTTTTTCTATATAAGAAACACTTTATGTACGTGAGCAGAATTACCCCAAAATATTAGACCATAGCTTAATAAGAAATTTGCAAGTCCATGGTATGTTAACTTAAGAATATCCAAAGAGACAGTACTGTACAGTTGTCGAATAACAAAGCAAATACTGCTGAATTTGGATACTAGATTGTTTATATGAATTTCCCACGTAAGCTTATGATCCACATAAATTCCAAGAAATTTAATATGATGAACTTGCTTTATAGACATTATAATTCATCCTTATTAATGGACTATAATCATAACGAATATTCTTCTGCAGGAATAACATGAAAAATGTCTTGTGTGTACTGATAATCTGATAATCCGTTATCGACACACCACTCATAAAATATATTTGCTGCAATATACATACCTTAATGGCAGTTTCAATGGATTTTCCATATCTGGACCCGTTGACAAATTGAAATGAGATTGTTCTATTCCAAAAAACAAGTGAGTCATATATTATCTTGGCAAACTGGGATCGTTTACCCTTATAAATTGGGACTGATTTTGATATCTTTGAAACTTTTGGATAATTTCCATCAACAAATGACATGTTTATCATGTGTAATAGTGTATAACATATTAAATCTACAACTTTGTTACAGCTTTTATGCAGATATCATCTACACCTGCAGAGGTTTATTTTGTTTTTTTTTATACTTTCATAGATCTCCTGTACGCATAAATTACTTTATTAATGAACTTTACTGGTTCAAGATGAAATAATCCCAACTGGAAAAGAGAAAAGATTGGGGTTTCAATATACCGTTTGCAGCAATGAAAACTAAACAGATCCAAAAACTTCAGGACAAATTTGTTGAGTAAATCATTAAAAAACCGATGGATTTTCAATTCAAGAGAGACATCTTTTCTTTCTGACCTCAACTTTCGTATCTTTTCACCTGCCTTTTGGTCACAATCACCCTCAAAAATTGAAAAGGGAAAGTACTGAGTGTGACAATTAATTGAGGACTGTTTAATACGAAACTTTTCATTTTGGCGCTTTTTTGCGGAAAAAACAACGACATAAAAAATCAAAATCAAGACCTCAACGTCAGTATCAGATATTCCTTTGTTCTTGACTTGTCGAATCCCGAACCCAGCAATTATTCAGGTGACGTCACGAAATAACAAATCAACTCTACCCACGCATGGTCGTTCTTCGGCCGAGTGCGAAATAAATTATCGGCAAATTTTAACAAATGTTTGTTATTTTATATGCGAACGCCTACTCCGTTTCACTATATCTCGAAATTTATGGCGCAGTCGTTCTGCATTGCAAATATGTTAGATTTTTTTTTTTCAGATAGAATTAGAGCAGTTCGGAATTGTGGTAAAAAAACTCGGCTGTCGATCGAACTGCCTTAAAACGAACACATCGTGATAATGGGAGAAATAAAGATGTGTTTTGTTATTTTGCAATGTTTCAACAATGACGTAAACGGGGATAAATCGGAATTGATCGAGCCGATAATTATTTATATCGAGAAAATGCATTTTAGATATACATTTCTACATTTTATATATACAAGATCCCCAAATGAAAACAAAACGCAAGTGTTATCGAGTGTCAACATTTTAGAATCTCAACGAATCTAGATCCTTCTGGTCGGTAGCTAAAGGTGTTAATAAAAACTTCACAAAATCCACAAGTCTGCACTGAAACAAGCGGGTAGTTCAATTGCAACAACAGCCATAGGAAAGGAAAATCTAATATCTGAACAATTTGCGTCCCACTGCACAGCCAATTTTCTGGAAAAGGCACTACTCACTATTCCCACACTAGAATCCACAATATCGGAAATTACTTTTCGACAACGTCTAGTAAGGCGAATTTTTTTTTAGATATAATTTCATCTGACTCATAATCATTCAATGAAATCAGAAATTCACAAGTCTGAAATGTATGATCTGATAAGTATGAGTGTTCAATATTCGTTGACATAATGGAGACATTAGAAAATACTACATCTATACCAGTTGAAACGGTAGTAGAAATGCAAGTTAGTTTGGCAATGTGGTTTATCATGTCAAATTCCTTGGAATAAATCAATTACTTTGAGAGTGTCTTCATTTTCAGTTAAAAAATTTACATTGATGTCACCACATAAAACGTAACGATTTGTTTTTCCATATATAAGGCTCATCAGACCATACGTGCTTTCTATAGATATATCTAGGTTGCTGTCAGGTGTTCTATACACAATCACTATAAATAATTTGCTAATTTCAAATTGATTCTCTATCATAACTACAGTTGCTTCAAAAGTCTTTTTTAATGCTGTTTTTGTTATTTAATAATAATAATAAAGTTGCTGTTCTAACAGAAGAGGCTGGCATCTGGCAAATCAACACCGCCGTATATAGCGTCTTCCAATCGCGTTCCGGATCGGAAGGACGAAATCCCGGCCTTGAGATTCGGAAGATTGAACGGCGTGTACACAAGATGAAGGCTAAGATCACGTCGGCGAGACAACACGCGTGTCGTATCCAATGTGTGATGGATTACAGGGCGGCCAACAGGCATTTCACGCCCGCAGTCAAACTATGACGTATCCATCATACTTTAAGTCAAGGCGTGCTGCTGACTACCAAACAGCACTGCCTTGATAGGATACGAATGCTAGTGGCTGCTAACGCGGAACCTTAGGTTCCGCGAGAAACCTTCTCGCTTATTCCAAGAGCCTCCACGTGTTGTGGATAATCCGCCGACCGCTGATCAGGTGGAATCCTTCTGGAAGGGTGTCTATGAACACCCGCAGCCACTCAACTTAGACATTCCAGCCCTAGCGCAGTTCAAAGCTTTCAACAGAGAACTTCGACAGCCTGAGCTCAATGAACTGCGCTACCCCATAACCCCGGATGACGTTCGAAGAGCCCTTGTGGGTTCCAAGAATTTTGCTGGCCCAGATGGGCTGAACACTTATTGGTGGAAAAAACTAACAAGCACCCACCGTCATCTGACCAAGAGTTTTCAACTCATGGCTAGATGGAGAGCAGCCGATTCCGGATTGGTTTGTCGAGGGGCGGACCGTTCTCATCCCTGAAAGCGGATATTTGTCGATTACAGACCCATAATTTGCTTGAATTCGTGTTATAAGTGGTTTACAAGCATCTTATACAGAAGAATACTCATCGCAGTTGACCGAGTGTTCGAACGGATATATGAGCAGAGAGGGTCGAAGAGAGAAGTAGCTGGATGTAGAGAAAACCTGCTCATCGATAGATGTGTAACGCAAGACTCGATACAATATAAGAGTAACCTCTCTATGGCCTTGATCGATTACCATAAGGCATTTGCTACAATATCGCATGAGCTCATCTTGCATTTGCTCAGATGCCTTGCGGTACCTAACAAAATGTGAGATGCATTGAACAACTGATACCACTCTGGCGAACTCGCTTCACCATAACATCTGGCCAAGCCAGCGTCTAAACAGGGTGGGTCACATTCAGAAGGGGTGTATTTCAGGGCGATTTCCTCGGTCCCCTTCTCTTCTGCATCTCACTATTGCCATTATCCGTTGCGTTCAGAAATACTCGAGGGTATAACTGTGGCACCCCCGGAAACCGGAGGCACAATGTTACCCATCTGTTCTATATGGATGATCTTAAACTTTATGCCTCTGGAGAAAAGGATCTCCATCAGTCCTTGAGGGTGGTGGAAGAAAGAGTACACGCGTGCTATCGGTATGGAATTCGGGATAGACAAATGTGCGGGGACTACGGAGAGGATGTGCAACTCGTAGGTGGAAGCATCCTATACCATTTGGATGTCGGAGAGACGTATACTTACCTCGGGGTGGAACAACGCCACTCACAAGAGGTAACAGCAGTGAAGAACTCTCTCCGCAGCAAGTATCAGCACAAACTTCGACAGATCAGGTCATCGGAACTGTCAGGAAAGAACAAAGTTGCTGCAACAAACATGCTTGCCGTTCCAATCTTACTCTACTCGTTTGGAGTAGTGAAGTGGACTGCACCAACTCGACGTCGAAAAACGATGCATCTCTAGAGGAGTTTGTATCCCATATCTTCCGTTCCACGGTTGTACTTCCCCCGACAACAGGGAGGCCGTGGACTTTTGAGTTTGGAGTGTCTACATGACAGAATGGTACTGGATACAGCCTGTAAAGTCGTCAGGAGTTCTGATCCCCTTCCTCTACATGGTCCGTGACCATGAGAGTGCAGGAATTGGAGCATTTCTCTTTAGGGCAGCTACCCGAGCAGCTGATGAACTCGGTTTAGTTTTCTACACTGAATGAGGTGACCACAACTCTGTCACCGAGTTGGAACCTGTTCAGCAAAATGCTCATATAAAAGCCGCAGAGATCACCTCACTTCTGCGGAAACACAAGGATAAACTACTGCATAGGGTCTTCTTCAATAACATTGGAGACCTTGGCTTATCAAAGCGCCTGACTTTCGCTTTCCTCAGATCGAGTGGGCTGAAGTCGGAAACTGAAGGGTTCATCATGGCTTGCCAGGATGGTGTCTTCAACACCTTAGTCTACTGCAGTCGCGTGATGGGTATAGAGGTTCCTGACACAAGGTGCAGGGCCTGCCGCGAGGCGCCCGAGACCCTAATGCACTTGCTATCAGCATATCTAGCATATGCGGTCCCGGCCTATATCCATTGAAATAACGCGGCCATCTACGACACTCTTACGGTATTGACGAGACACCAGTGTTGCCCTAGGCTCCGGGGGATATTGAATACGTTGTGTGGAACGAGAAGTCAGAATTCATTAGAACTACTCGTTCCCCACCCTCAGGCTCATACAAGCTAATAAGCCTGATGTAGTCCTTCTCGACCACCAGAGTAAGACGATATTTGTCGTGGAGTTTTCAGCTCCTGGCGAGACGAATATCGTCCGAAAAGAGGAGGAAAAACGGATAAAATATTGAGATTTTCTCTTCGAACTCCGCAAGACTCTATCCAGATCACTCTGTCAAGATGGTTGTTCTGATTACTGGAGTCCTTGGTGGAATGATGCCCTCTCTACTCTCGAATCTTTAAATGATACCGGCTTGCCGCACTAAGGAAAAAATCTTAGCCGGACAGATGCAGAAGGCTGTCATTCTTGGCTCACTGCCCTTGCTCAGGGCACATGATTCTCGGACCCAATGATCACTTACCCCACGGTGTGGGGAGTGGTCGTTGGTTGATAATGCTAGTGCGCCCTCCCGAATGTATCGGGGGATAGGGCCTGACCAGCGCAAACTATGATTAAAAAAATATTTTTCCCCCGAAACATGCAATGTTTACCGGTTTCCCGACAAGACTATGATAATTTTTCAGAAAAATACATCGTCACGATTATATTATTTATGACAAAATGAGTTTATTAGGGAGTAGCCTCTCAATGGAAGACATGTTATTTCATACATTTTCAACCAGCGTTCACTGATACAAACAATGTCAGTTTTGTTTATATTCGATAATATTTCCAACTCATCTATTTAACCATTTAGACCATGATTATTGAAATGCATGAAATTGGAAGTATTTATAATGCTTTCTCTGTTATTTGACGTAAGTTCTAACGAAACATTTTTTACTTGATTTTCCTGTCCTATCGCCTGTCTAAAAAAGAACTAGGTCCATCCTCCACCTCTCCTTTAAGAACATGTCTAATTTGATATTTTTCATAATATTATATAATTTTCATAATATTATTGTATATACTATCTAATTTCTTGAACATATTTTTCATCTATTTAAAGGATATGAGTGATACAAAACTTTCAAAAATGTCAGCACCAAAAGAAACTGAAGATAATGTGTTTGGTAATATGGAATCTTGGTCATCAAGAAAATCTGCAATTCTATCAAAATATACTACTTCTGAAAAACTTACCATGGTAACTAGCTTCTTGTCCGAAGGGGAAAAAGGTATGATGTAGACTCATTTTGTAGCTGAGATTCAATATTATATATTTTGCTAGGGATTCCATAGGGAACATTAGATACTTCAAAATTTGAAGATCAATAACACTATCATGAAAAACTCCTTTGTATTATTACTTCTCTTGGTATTCAAAAAAATAACTGCTTTTGTAAAAAAATATAATTTGAATAAAAATATAGGATGAAAAAAATAAATTTTGTCTAATTTCTACTAAGTTTATTTTTGTTACGATCGGTTTCGGTGTGTTAGACCATTCCCAAGTAACTGATTTACAAACCAAAACCGGTCGTAACAAATAATAAACCTAGTGGAAATTAGACAAAAGTTATTTTCTTTATATGAATTTATACAAAATAAATAGGTCATCAATTGAACAAGTTGCAAAAAAATAATGCAAATCACGTGACTACTGTTCTTGTGGTATTTTTCATTTTGATCTAAGTAGAAATTGATGTCAAATTCCAAATAAATTTGTTATAGAAAAAATCCATATGGTGCATACTTAGCTAATCTCACTCCAATATAACTCCAATATCAATGCTTCCCATGTTGGGCTGTAATCTCAAAAATATAGAACAATATGAAGAAAAATTAACAATATGTTATGAGAAGAAAAGAGAAGAAAAAAGACACCACATCAACACACCACACCACTATTACCTGAGTTGTGGGAACAATGTAAGATACTTAATATGTGTTAACAAAGAGTACTTTATTTCAACAGTAAAAATAATATTCAATCTGTATATACCTTTGATTCAGATGATCCCACTATAACTCATAAGGTGGATTAGATTAGACAAAAGTTGCCTATTTAGGGGGACAAAAGTCTTTCTTCAGATCGTGACTATCAATTGTTGTATTTGCGACATTGTAAAAAACTAAAATTTTCTTCATATCTGGAAATTGCAGAAATACATTAATTCTAAGTATCTCAATTTTGCAGGTAGATGTGAATGCATTTCTGCAAGTTTTTGTTACAGTATACAAGTACTGTTTAAGAACTGTAGCAAAAGATTTTTTTGATATGGATTTTCTCATCATAACTCCCTGTAATAACAGAGAATCAAATCTTAATTTTTTTAATGACTCTCATTATGAAAGGTGATAATTCGATTTCATATTACGACTGAAGGTGTAAAATGGGAGTCAGGGTGTAACGGGATTTTCTGTCAAATACGTTTTTGAAAAACAACTTACTCTATTAATACAATTTGTATAAAAGAGTAACAATACTTCAGATAGATGTGTTTAGTGCTTTTGATAATAACAAAGGTTATAATATGCGAAATACATACCTAAATGTTGTCTGAAAATAAAGGTTTTTAATAAATTGACTACTGAACTGATAAATACACACTTGAACACCTGAATTTATTTAAAAAGCAACTAAAGAATATTCGGTTGGAAAAAGCCTATGACGTGAATGATTTCGAGTTTTTCTAAGTTGAATTGAATTGCAATTTCATTTTGGTCGTTTGAAATTTGTTTTACATTCTGATGTATAAGTTTATTTATTCATACATATGTAAATATGAATTTCCCTTTTTGAATAATTCCCATGAATATTTGTATGTGACTTGTCCAGAATCCACAATATACTTCTGAATAATAAATTATTATTATTAGTTAACTAGTTTAGTGAATCAATAATTTTTCAGAAGAAAGGTTGGTTGGGTAACAGGATCAATTTTTTCTTAAAAAAAAACAATTGTTTTCTTGCCATCGTTTCGAATTTAATTAAATTCTTCATCAGGGCTCTGTAACAATGAATTTTCATAAACATATCTCCCACAAAACTTATACGATTATTATCGTTTCAATTTTACAAGAAGTAATGAGTTCTCAATTAAATTACTCACTGAAAAGTAGTTTATTCGTGTTAATATTACTATTTTAAAAACCATTAGACATATTAGATACATTTATGATGCACTTTTTGGAACATTTGGTGTAGTAATGAATATTACTGGAGTTTTTTCCCAACACCAAATCGTTATTTCTAACACCTCGACACATGTTTTGATCACCTCTTTGAAGATGAAGATTACAACATTCAGTTTTAATCTTCCTCTTTAAAGATGATCACTTGGTGATCGAAACACGTGGTGAGGTGTTAGAAATAACGATTTGGTGTTGGGAAAAAACTCCAGTAATATATATTAGATACATATAAAAAATATATATATAAAAAACATTGCAACAACCAAATTTTCTAGACAACATAAACACAGAGTGACATGAGATGAAGCCATTCGTTTGCTTCATGTCCTTGTGTGTTGATGTCTCGAAATTTGTTGTTGTAATGTTTTTTTTAAATGTATCTAGTATGTCTATTGGTTTTTAAAATAGTAATATTTCGGTGAGTAATTTAATTAAAAACTCATTATTTCTTGTAAAATTGAAACGATAATAATCGTATAAGTTTTGTGGGTGGTATGTTTATGAAAATTCATTGTTACAGATCCCTGAAGAAGAGTTTAATTAAATTCGAAACGTTGGCAAGAAAACAATTGTTTTTTTAAGAAATTATTATCGATGCTTCTAATGCACACCGATTGGTTTCATTGATGGATATACAAACACATTTTCGAGAACTCAATGAAGTGACCAATGAATTTACGAACATATCAACAATCGATTTCAAAAACTTGCCAATTTGTATCTCCAAATAATCTAATGAATCATTTACACAGCGTGTAACATATTTGTATGTGAGTATGAGTATGTGAGTATGAGTTTTAATAGTTCGGATTTCCATTGTCTAATATGATATGATTTGAAGTCTCTGAAATAACAAATGAAAATGAGAATTAAAAAAAATAACTGAAAATAACAATTATATTAAGCAAAAAAACCCTGAATAGAAATTACTGCGACAAATTAACGAATTAACTGTCTTAAACAAATTTATTTCCAACAATATTTCACTAATCACAAACTAATTTATTTAAAAAAATCTGTTTAAAATCTGTTTTTCCGTTAATCAGCTGTCGCCCTCATACGAACGACAACTCTCAGAAGTTGAGTTATTACAACACTTAGCAACTAACGCTTTATTTATTTCCACTATTTGAATTTCTTGTTTATCCGATCGATTCACTTTTTGAACTGCCTCTTGGGTCGGGAAGACGTGCTTATATCGGTAACGGTCCTTTCTAGAAATCTGTACTCGGTTCGGTCCTAGAATTTTACCTGCGATTTCCGACTGCATTCTTTCGCGGTGATGTCATGTGTTTGTTCGCTGAGTCAGCCGGCATATCGGTCAGGGACGGCATCAGATTCGTTACATTACAATGAAATAAAAATTGGCACAAAATTGAAAATGTAAAAACTAGGTGGTTTCAAGCAAAGTTACTTTAATACGTTTCGATTGTTAGTATCCAGAATCGTCTTCATGTGATAACTGGACTTATTCCCTCCGGCCATAGCAATTTCTCGTTAAACTGGTGAAGCGGAGAGAGGGAAGACGGGATAGGTGAAAGCACTCGAATGACCTATAAATAGTCATCTCTGGGAGGAATAAGTCCAATTATCACCCGAAGATGATTGTGGATACTACCAATCGAAATGTAGTGAAGTAACTTGGCTTGAAACCTCTTAATTTTTATTTCATTTTAATTGTTTAATTTTCAGTTTTTTGCTTAATGTAATTGTTATTTTCAGCTATTCTTTCTAATTCTCATTTTCATTTGTTATTTCAGAGATTTCAAATCATATCATATTGACAATGAAAGTTCGAACTAATGAAATTCACCATGAAACATATTTTAAGTTTGATATATCTACGAAATTGATTAATCACTAGCAATTAACTCAAAATACTACAAATGTAGAGTACTTAATTTGCCTTCTGTTTCAAGTAACGGTGAAGGCTCAAACTACTGCAGTGGACAAAGTACAACACCGTCTAAAACAGTTAGACTCATTCGAGGAAGCTTCACAACAAACGCTAGATCTGTCGCAAGCTGAATATGTTATGAAAATTGAACAACTTAATCAAGAGCTTGTGTCTGCTTGGAACACAGAACAGAGAGTAAAGGCACTTAAAATAGCTATTCAATGTGCAAAATTATTGACAGATACAGATGTTTTACCCTTCTACCCCAGTAAATTTGTTTTGATTACTGACATCTTGGATACTTTTGGAAAACTTGTTTATGATAGGCTACGGATAAAAGCAAATTATTATAAGTAAGTAGTTCTCACAGTATGCATTAAATGATGAAAAAATCAATACCAGTAATTTTCAGACCAGGTTCAAAAACACCAACGTCTCTCCCAGAAGATTTTACCCCAGACATGGTGCCGGATACTGCCAAAGAAACTTGCCTCAACTGGTTTTATAAAATTGCTTCAATAAGGGAACTTGTACCAAGGCTATATGTTGAACTGGCTTTATTAAAGTCATATAACTTCGTGTCCACAAAGTAAATACAAATTTTTCAGATATGGATCTAGTAAAATATTTACAGTTAATTTTTTAGCGAATTTTCAGAGTCCCTCCCTCGCATCACTGATATGATTCATGGAGTAGGTAACCCCCTAGTGGCAGTTTATTTAAGATGTTACCTGTGTAAAACCGGGATGACCACAACAAATATGAATACAGATTTCAGTTTCTTGCTATCCAATTTCACTGGGTTCCTGGATTCATATCAACATGTAATTTATTTTTTATTCTGTTTTCAGATTACTAGTAATCTGAAAAATGCTCTTGTTGTAAATATTTCAGGATCACTTATTGTTTAAGAGTTATTTATATCTACTTTGCAATTTACTGATTAATGATGAGATAATGGTGACCAGAACTGTGGAAATTTGTGTTGCCAGAAAAAGTTTTCAACATGAAGTTATATTTCCATTTCAATTAGTTCTTTTTTCTTTACTGAAAATTATATATCACAATTTATGCTAAAGTTGAAACTTTGTCTCCATATTCTCACCTTTCAATTATTTAGTTGTATTTAAAAAAAATCTTAGGAACTATTATTAATGATGAAATAGTTACAAACATAACGTTTTTTTAATTAATTTTTCAGTTGTTCAGTAGGGGAGTTGAAGCTGAATTACATGTTCAAAAAATGGATATGTCAACCTATGTTACCCTTTACACACCAGCCTTAAATTTTATATTAGAGGCAGTCGCTTGCAAAGTGAAAGATTCAATATTACCAAATTTGCTAAATGTTTGTAGAGAGTACAAAAACAGGTAAAAAATTGTACATATTTTTTATTTCAGTTTTCTGACAAATCTCATTCATTTCTATTTACTATGATGATAATCTATTTTGATTTTTGAAAATAAAGGCAAAGAGTTTGTGTCACAAAAATCTTGAACGGCTGAAATAACATTTGCCTAAAACTCTTTCGAACCATTCTGTCACAGTAGAACTCAAATTATTTCAGACAATTCATAAATTTATTTAAAAATTTTTTAATCCAGCTTTTTGAGAGCTGATGAAGTTGTTCGACTATGAAGAAGATAGCATGGAGCAGCTAATCCATAGCCTCGCAGAGAAAGGAACTTTTGAAATTGTCAGCCAGTTCAAAACATAAACATGTTATTGTCTTAAACACATTATTGCCCCTAAAGAGATATAGAAACTGGAAATGCATCACAAAAATGTAGTTTGTATATGATCAGACTAATTTGACTTATTCAATTCCTAATTCAGTTTGGACAACAGTAAACACTAATATTGTTGTATAAATAAACCAACACAACTTGTTCCCACAAGTTTTGGCGACTCAATTGTTCACTATATTAATAAAGAGATTAATCCTGGCAATTAACTTTTTATTATGACATATACATGTTGAATACCTCATGATATTATGCGTAATCGGCTCAGGTGTTCATTTTTTTTAAGGACAAAACACAAGCGCTACAGAAGGACCCTTTAGGCGCTCAAAGAACAGTGCCTGTGTGAAAGTAGTGATTCATATTGGATTTGAATCTCTGGAGATCAAATCCATTTGGAAAAACGTTCTCAGGAAGTTTATTCCACATAAACGCAATTCTCCAAATGAAAGAGATCTTAAACAGTGAGCTTTGAGGTGTTTTTTTAAGGACAAAACACAAGCACAGTAAAATCCTGAGTTGAACCTCAAAAGGATGAGCAGCCACAGTCTGTCGCGTATTTCTGATATGTACCGCTCTTGGTGGAATCAAATATACCAAGTCACTTGAACACTTCCCGTGAATGTATCTATAGAAGAGAGACAAATCCCCAACCTTTCTTCGATGTTCCAGACTATCAAGGTTGCAAGTGATGTGCGCGTCTCCAATCAGGCGAATGGCTCTTTTCTGGATGGAATCCAGCAGCTTCAGGTTATGCTTAGGGGCGGAGAAAAATACTCCGAAGAACGTCTGATCTGTTGCTGTTGAGGTGTGTACAGTTTTCTGGTTTGGAACGGTGTTCCAAACTTTTGAGAAGCAGCTTTTGCAATTCCAGTGACATGATTGTGCCAAGACATATTGGTGTCCATTTCAACCCCCAACAAACTTATCGAAGCAGAAAGCAGAATTGTCTGACTTGACATTACTATATCCGGTTCGGAGACATTTATCTTTTTGGAAAAAACCGATGTCTGGGTTTTTGTGGCATCAAATTGAACCTGGTTACTTTCACCCCAATTCGAAATTACTTCTAGATCTTCATTAAGATATGTAATCTCCTGCTGCCGGTGAAGATGTGCATCTGCAGCCAATGTCCTGGAATCCAAATGGAATGACGAGACAAGTGTACTGAATTCTAGTTTTTTTCCAATAAGTCGTTGATATTGGAAGTTGTAGTTTAATACATTATTCAATGAAAATTAAATTATTTTTTGTTCTTTCAAAATCCATTTACTCAGGTACAGACATATAATAAGAAACTTACAAAGTTGTTCATGGTGGACAATTCATCTCTATAGATTTAAAAAAAAACTTTATTATATAATTTTATAAATTACAAATAATACTTCACAAACAGTTTACACTTTATCATAAATAATGAAGTTGAATTTGTGAAAAATCGGTTTTGTTGAACATAAAACTACATTCAAGGTTTTGTATAATAAAATAACTTAATAAGAGTCAGCCAAAAAAATTCTTTTCCCCATTTCAGTTCACTAATCCTCAATACTATAATGTCTGGCTTGAAACCTTCTTATATATCTGAGAGATGTTTGGAATTTCTTGAAATGATGGTCAATTGTTCAGACCAAGGAATCCCTCTATATGTGTTATTGAGAACACTTGGACTTTGTGTAAGCGTGTGTCCACCTCCTAGTGAACAAAGAAAACAAATTTTGAACATTGTTTGGAAGTTCATTTCTTCATTCTCAAAGCCAAATGAATTTATTGCTTGTGCAGAGGCCTGGGTGCAGTATGTTGTATTGTATTTTTCCGTAAGTATGCTTAGCATCTCTAGCACATATTTTAATGTAATAACCTGCACATTTTATACTGTGTACATAAGTATTTTATTCTTTCATATAGATAAAGTACAACTTGATAACAATAGTGTTTTTATAACTTATAGTGTATGCCAAATCAAGCAGTAGTTTTCAATTTTAATTTTAAAAAAAGTTTACCTCGCCCTCATTGTTAAAAATAACTAATGGGACTTTCTTACAGAGTAGAGAACTCAACATGATTCTGGGCGACATCATTAATCATATGACTCCTGACAGAAGTTTTGAAAAATATTATAATGAATTGAAACATATAATTGGAAACGTTACGTCACAAATTCAGGATTTTGAAACATTATTCATCATGGTGAGAAAGATGTTCCAAATGAATCATACTTGTTTTTTTTTAATTCTTATTTTTAGGACAATTTTCTTCCGCTCATTGATCTTTTTCATCAAGAAGCCATTAAAGTTGAAGTATGCAAAAATATTCTCACCTCTTGCAGTTGTGAATACAAAACCAGTGACCCTGTCATAACAAATGCTTTGATGTTTCTTTGTAGCGTTCTTCATGATTCGGTTAATGCTTTGACCCCTGAAGATGAGTACAGACAAATTGGAGAAATATTGTGTAGTACCATAAGAAAAGTTGATTATGGAAGGCACTTTGAGCAACAGCTCAACTTTTTCGTTGAAGCTAGAGGAGCTTTTTCCAATATTGATATGGTTTTGGCAGAGCTGGTACAGGTTAATACCACTTTTTGTTTGGATTGTTCATTATCTCAATGTAAAATAATCATTTAACATAAACCACTGCAAGTGGAATGTCCACTATTGAGTTCGCTAGTGTGAACAAATTACAGATATTTTCAGATTCTGATTAGAATGCGTTTTAGATAGAAGAAATTTCACGACCAACAAAAAAATCAAAATATATCAAATAAGGAATCTTTCAGATATTGAAAATGATCACTACCTGTTAACTATTGTTTTCTTTCCTGACCATGAATATCATGTTGTATCCAAATTGCTTACATCTTATCTGAATTGCGTACACCTCAGCAAATCGAAGATTCTCGATTGCATACACTTCTGGGGCTGATTATACACATTTTCTCTAACAGTACTATCAATTTTAGAAAAATTACGCTATTCAGAAGCCATCGAATATTAATTGTTTATGATGAATAATTTTGAAAAAGCTGTTATATAAACAAATCATATATTCAACCAGATGAATTATTAAAATGACAAAAAGTGTACTGTCACAGTCAGTGGCTGAGGAAAATATTGCATATGAACTCAAAGATAGCAGGGAGAGAAAGTATTGAAAATTATACAACATTGATATTTCGAAAACAGTAGTTGAAACTAAATTGATGGATGTAGCCGTTACTATGTGGTAGGAAATCATAATGAAGAAAAGAGAATAGAAACTTCTATGTTTTTTACCATTTTTATTTGTAACTAACGTTACTGGAGTTTCATCCTATAAGGACATTTTCAAACTCTTACATTAATGTATAAGTTATACATTAGTGTATAAATATGTGTATCGTATAAGGACATTTTCAAACTTATACATTAATGTATAAGTTATACATACACTTACTTATACATTAATATATAAGTTATACATTTTCAAACTTATACATTAATGTATAAGTTATACACACACTTACTTATACATTAATGTATAACTTATACAATAATGTATATACGTTTGAAAATGTCCTTATAGGATGAAACTCCATTAACTTTAGTTACAAAAGAAAGTGGTAAGAAAGTTTCTATTCTTTTTTCTTTATTACGTAGTTGAAACTGTTTACAATTCATAGGTGTTGGTTATTATAACAAGTTAATCAAGTCATTGTATTTTTATACCATTTCATAATTCAATAGGTTAGCTTGTTAGTTGTTTTCAAGAGCTATTTACTATAAACTACTGACATAGTAGAATCTGAATATATTTGTTTATGGATCTTCATCAAGTAACGGCCAAATCAACCTGAAAAAAAAAATTTGTTTAAATAGTTGACAATGTTAAGAGAGTCCATTGCCAATAAATTGTTTAATAGATTTGAAATCTAAGAGAAGATGAAAAAATGAAGTATCAAAAATTACTAGTATTGAAATATTCAGATTGGTGGAGAATTTAAAATAATGACAAGAAATAAGCATTGAATATAAAATATAAAAATATAAGAACACTTATCTATGAAGAAAACTAATTATCGTCACTTGAAATGCAAATTAATTCATAGTGAAATAATGTAATCTATACTCATAAATGTGAAAGTCGCTCATTTAACTATCATTCATCTCTGTTTATCCTTACCGCTACTATATTTTTGAAGGCTGAAATTTTGTATGTAGGTTCGTTCTGTGTTGTAGATGTGCATTAAGAAAGGATTTTTAAATATTCCAACTGCACCCCCTGGGATAAAAGGGTCGCGTTGACATATGAAAATTACCTTTTCATCGCCGTTTCTCAGTACCTCTATATTTTCGGGGGCTGAAGTTTTGAATGTAGGTTCGTTTATGTGGTAGATGTGCAATATGAAAGGATTTTTAAATATTCTAACTAGGGCGCCATCTATGGAGAAAAAAAGGGGCGTTTATAAAATAAAGTTACCTTTTCATCACTGTTTCTCCATGCCCTTAAATTTCCGGTGAGTGAATTTATATTTACTATCAGCATTGCACCCTTGCGGAGCCCGGCGATTCGCTAGTTGAAAATAAATAAAAAATGCATAATACATCTCACTAAACCTTTAATTCTTTCAATGTGATTATCTTTCTTTCTTTTCTTTCTTTAAATCCATGCACACTTTTAAATGATGACCACTACTATAAACTATTGGTTTTGAGAATTAATAACACCTTTGTACATAAATAATATTTCACAATGAATTTACCTTTTCTTGGCCAACAATGGTTCTAAGAAATGAATGGTCTTATCCTCACTCTCAACCAAGCTGCATCAATTCCTTAATGTGCCCTGAACTAGCTGTGGGGTACCAAAATTTATGATACGGGACTAGATCACACACGGGAAAACCTTCATGAAGGAATCGTCTTTATAAAGAGAAAGTTCTGGTTTAATAGAGTAGGGATCTACACAGAATTATTACAAGGCTTCTCATTTGAGAAAATCTGAACAAAATAGGGCTGTACAATGGAGACCTTAGCTGCAGGCAAAGTAACAATAGGACATAGATCATTATATTTTATGGATCATAGGAGGCAAACAATTTATAGACATCCCCAATTATATCCAGAAGAATACGAGAAACATGAGGCTGTCAGATTTTCTGAAAGCATGAATGAAATAGTTCCCTTGGAAGTCTCCCAAGCAGCAGCAAAACTATTCTGAATGACATATTAACATATATGTCCCAGATCTGCATAAAATGAGTGTTCATTTCTAAGAATTCTGATTCCAAGGAGTTCATCAAAATTATAATAATAATTAATGAAGGTTCCCAAGCAGCAGCAAAAAATAGTCTAAATGACATATTAACATATCTGTTCTAAATATTTGAAATTCGTTAAATTTCTTGTATTGCATAAAATGAGTGTTCAAATCTTAAACTTTTAATCGCAATAAGTTAATCAAATTTGTAATAGTTAGTAATAAAAAAGCAGAAATTTATAATGTAGCGGCTTGAAGTGAGTGGTAAAAGAATATTTTTGAAACATTTTAAAATATTTTTTGCAGCAAGTAAATGCACTCTCGGTCAACACAAGGCTAGTCATCAAAGGTATTCATACCAGAAAAACGGCAGATTTCGTACGAGCTTGTGCAGCATATTGTTTCATCACAATTCCCTCAATATTATCAGAAAAGACCCGTCTGGAACTGTACTTACTATCAGGACAAGTTGCTCTCTTCAATCAGTGTTTAGGACAAGGTATATTAAATATAATTTCAATAATGTTGAGCATATGTTGAAATATCTTGAAACTCATTGTAAACCTTTATGAGAGATGTATAAATATATCAACACACACACAATTATGGTCAACATTAGGCAATTTGTTGGATTCTTAACCAGCAAATCATTACCATTCTAGACTGGAATGTGGGAGCGTGTGTGAAATAAAATTTACAATTTCAGCTGATGCATGTTTAAAAGCAGCCCTAGCTATGTTAGCTGAACTATCAAAAGCTTCTTCCAATTCTGAAATATTCCTTGTGTCGTATATAAAACAATTTTTGTCAACACTTCTGGTTGTGCCAGATAACCCAGAAAGAGGTGTTCTGAGTTTGATGAGGGGATTGCTCAATGTTATGAGAGAGTTAGACTGGAGCAGACCAAATTGTACATTAGGAATGTTATACATCAGTGTTATTGATGTTTTGACGGCCATGGCACAGGAAGACTATCCTTATCATATTGACAAAGGTTTGTTACTGTAAATTCGTGAGATGTGCTACATATGTATATATTTTCATATATTTCTCCAAATTCATAATTCAAATTTTGTTCACTTGTTTCAGTGGAGTCAAATGATTCTCTTTATGGATGTGATCCCAAATTCTCGTCAGAAATTGATTCCATATGCTCTATAGTAATTAGAGAAATTCTTACTCTGCTCAAAGATCTTGGAAGTTGCAGACGACAATCTCAAGTTGCCACAGATTTATTTTGTAGAGTGGCATTGAGGGCAGATTTGACCAGAAAACCCCTTTTCATTTTGGCTCTGAATTTGTGGCAACTTAGTTTGAAAAACGGATATGCTGATGTGAAATATATGGTATGTTACATACTGATAAGGCTTAAAATAATTCATTGCAGTACTTTTGTTTGAAGGTGGTTGACAATGTTTCGTGGTGTATTTCATCAGTGCGGACTTCCATTGTCTAATATAATATAAATTGATTTGAAAACCCTGAAAAAAAATTAAAAAGATCAAGCGAAAATAACAATTTCATTAAACAAAAAACTGAAATTACAAAGAAATAACATACAAGTAACAACCAAAAAATAAAAAATTGAAATATTAATAAAAGCTGAAAATTGAAAAATATTATTAACAAAAAATGAAAAATAAAAATTAATAGATTCCAAACCAAGTTACTTCACGATATTTCGATTGTTAGTATCCACAATCGTCTTCGGGTGAT